CTGCAAAAAGGTGAAAGGTTTGGTACTGCGGCTGCAATTTGCCCTTTTATCAATACATGTTGAATTATGTTATTTGCATTCGTTTACTATTCCCTTTTCGTTTTGTAGCAATTTCATCCCCTATTGAATTTTTATAATAATAATAATAATAATAATAATCTTCTTCTTCTTCTTCCCTCACGTCACGTCACGTCACGTCACGTCACGTCACACCCATATCCAAGCCTACCCTCAAGCCCAAACCCACCTATCTCAGCCCCAGTAAAATTGTTGACCCTACCCCCACGATTGACGGGCTTTGGTGATGAAATTGAATCATATTTTGACATTGTATGTAGTGATGATATGCTTTATGCTTTGGGGTCAAGACATTCGATTAAAGTAAGGGATCTACGTGAATCCACTCCATGAAGGAAGATGATTATTCAATCTCCTTGTCCTCGAAAATTGATAGAAGCCCGACAAATTTACTCGTCTAATCTCTATTCATCCCAATGGTACTTGGCTTTCTCATCAAGGGAGATGCCTCTAGTTGTGAGGTACATTGGAGAGTTCTTTAGGTACGATGTAGAAGTAGTTTGCGATGGACAAATTAAAGGCTGTGATGAATTATCAGTACCAAAGTCTAGTTATCACATTGTACCAAAAAAATCATCATTGTAGTTTAATAACTTATGTTACTCCTTGGTTCCGAAGCCCAGTGAAACGAGGCCACGTGGTACGACACGTGGGCGAGTAGTCAACGAGAAAGTCAAAAGAAGACCTAAGAGGTCAAACACACAAAAGAAGTCAAAAGGCCGAGGTCCTTACACAGCGTCCGAATTCCTCACACTGCATGACTAGAAGTTGGGAAAGAAGCTGACGTCCTCCACTTGAAACCTTCTCGGGTCTCTCCGAGGCACTCAAGTTCATCCAAGGCTCACAAATCGACGCTGTTTCCTCGTAAAAGATTTGAGGATCTCTCTAAAATGATTGATGTAACGCTCGTAATAAAGTTGTCAGTGTGTCAGCCTATGGCTGCTGACCCCTTATCAATGTATTAAATGTATGAATTGTGATGTTCCAATTAGGGAGATGAGGCCACGTGGTTCTAATTCAATGATCACTACGTAGGCCAAGGTGGTATAAATAGAAAGAGAGACAAATAGAGATGGGGAACAATCATAGATATTCGAAACATACACTGGAATTGGAAAAAGGAAAACATATGAACATCTTATCTATCTTTCCACATATTCTTGTTTATAATAACATAGATTAGTTTGGTTTCTACCCGACAACCGTTGTTAGTGCGATTGCTTTTGTTCCACCCACCGAAGCTCGAACATTTTTGTCTAGCAAAGTACCTCCCGCGTCCATTTCCTCCTTTCTACCGTCATCATTCCGATAGGAACGGGTCGAAATCATGCTTGACTTGGCAAGAGTGGACTCGGCATCTATTGATTCATTTTTTGGGGTCAACAACTTATCTTTCTTAATTCAATAAATCTCTTAAAATTTAGGTACACACATTCATGGAAGTATATCCAAACAAACGGCACCCCCACAAACCTTAGTGGTTAACCATATAAGCAATGAAGTGCCTTTATAACCCAATATTTCAACTTTAATGAACTAAAGAAGTTTGGAATCAAGTGAAGACAATTTTCGAAAAGGACTTTTTCTTTAGGAGATCTTATAAGCAATCAAGTGCCATTATAACCCAATATTCCAACTTTAAAGAACTAAAGAAGTATGGAATCAAGTGAAGACAATTTTCGAAAAGGACTTTTTCTTTAGGAGAACTTTCGATGTGATTTCGAGACAGTAATATCCTATACCTGACCAACTAAGCATTGAAAAATATGAAATGCAAATAAGTAAATTTATATTAATATATTAACATTAATACTTATCCAAGAAATATAACCAACTATATTAAGCCTCTATTTGATTTGAACTAAAATTAGAATTTGAGTAGATTTTCGTAAAAGTTGATGAAACGTGTTATCGAAAAGTTGTCGATCAAATGAAATATTTAGGCTATTTAAATTATGTGGGTGGCGTACCGAATCTCATAGAAATATTTCGTCCACATAAACTATAAGAAATTTATTAAATTTTCTAAATATATTATCCATTCTTCTTTGA